GCATTCCAATGAGTCACTTCTCTTTGGAATGGCACAAAATGAATCTCTTCCAATCAGATGGCCAGGTAGTTGTCTTCCAAATTGCTTGGCATAGATGACTGACTGCCTCTAGTGGAGCATCAGTTTGTTGAAAGATTTCAAGTTGTGTTCCATCAATTCCCGGAGACTTTTTCTTTGCTAATGTCTTAGTACACCTTGGACTTCTTCCTTCTGTACTTTGGTTCTTGATCATATGCTACTTATTGAAATGGTTGAACATTGACCATTTCTGCCAAATGCTCAACAAGGTCCTTTGCTGACTGGCGTATCTTCAAGGACAAATCTCTTTAGATTGACTAGAAAGACTGCTTATTTCTGTAGTAAAATGAATCTTTCAAAGATTTCATAAACTACTTTTAATGAATTAAAGAATATTCAAAGAAGAGCTACATTTGAAGATTGTACAAAAGTTTATCCCTACAAGGCATGTGCCATACCAAACAGGCTTCTAATTTTGTCAGTCCTTAACATCTACCTCTCTGAATTTTCATGAATTTCTGTTTCACAAGAGTTGTTGCTGTTGTTCAATGCTGTCAAGTTGGTTCCGACCTATAGCCACCCAGTATAGTTTCCGAGGACCAGCTGGGCATGAATTTCTATTTCACAAGGGTAGCTGTTTTACATACAATGGCATCCGCATATAATTAAATACTTTGTATAAAAAATGAGAATGGACTCAAGAAGCTAATAAAAACAGAAATTGTCAGATTAGAAATTGCCAGGAATTAACAATTTTCTGTCTAGAGGAGACAGTGTAGATTTAAAGATACAAATAGATAAAAGTAAAAGAATGGAAAAAGACAAATCATGAAAAGAGAAGCCACAAAACAAGAATTTTTAGCAATTACTCTACTAAATATCTAAAAAAAAGACAAATAATACCTTTTACAACACTGTGTCTAAGTCTCTGTTGAAGAGAGTGATATTTTTCTCTTAAAGGAACCCTTATTTCCTCAGGGTTTGGAAATGCTTTCACGAAAATCTCTGCTACCTTCAGAAAAATTAAAAAATGAATTTTATGAACATGATACTTAATTAAAATAAAGTAAAAATCTCTGGTTCTGATTCAGTTTTATTTCCACATACCTTTCTGATTGGTGGCAACTCTCCAATAAGGCTCAAAATTATATCCTGAATAAGTTCTTCAATATTCAAAAATCGAGAGAAAGGTAGCATTCTATAAGCCCATTCCACAGCACTAAGACAGTGCTCAACCATACAAGAATCAAACTCCACTTCAAAGTCCTAAATGAATATTGAAAAAAATGCATTTCCTTTTCACTTTAAATGGATAGACTGGAATTAACACAAAAAGAAAACTTTTGAACAGTAAGACATTCTATTAAGTAATAATTTCACAAGTAATGTTTGTTCATTTTAGTCTAGTGCAGATAAATACCTTTTTTTCCCCCACATTTTCTCTTGCTTTCTGATACTGCCTGCAACTGTAAGATAACTTTTCACGAATATGCAGCATCCAACACAAAGCACAAAGTTCTCGGAAGCAACCTAAATCAGGTATACAAATATGATCAAAGTTGCATAAGTATGAACATTAATAACATCCACGCCTCAGCTGAGGTCTTATTATTTTGTTGACTACAATAGAACCAAGTGCTCATTGTAAACAGCTTATATAAAAATCATGGACATCCTTCTGGAATTTTTATGCTGGTTACTAACCAACTTTATTAACTATTTGTTTACTTGCTTTACAAATTCACAATACACTGTGGATATTTTCCAAAGCCAATAACTCTACTTTATAATGTTCTATTGTGTTGTTGCTATTGGGTGTCATTGAATTGGCTCTGATTCATGGTGGCCCTATACACAACAGAACACTGACAGATCCTGCGCCATCCTCACAATTGTTGTTACACTTGAGCCCATTGCTGCTGGCACTAAGACAATACATTATGTTGAGTCTTCATCTTATTTGCTGACCCTCCAATTATCAAGCATA